AATCAATACATCATTAATACATATTAATACATCATTTAAAACATATCTATAAAACCTCTCTAAAAGTTCCTGGGGTTTTTAATATTTGCCAAACAGCCATCACTGGTATGCAAATGACTGATGAGGCGGCGATACAACATCCCAACACATTAGCCCATAGGGGGTATTCATACTGATCATACTTTAAGGGCTCGAAGTTAACTAAACCATAAAATATAATGAACTAGAATAAAAAATAACCACAATTAAATTTATTTATTGATATGATTCTAAATGAAAGTCATATAAGTAGCCTATTAATGACAATATTATAATAATAACTACAGTAATAGTATACATACCATAATAAAGAAAGGGGCGACAAACCCCCAACAAAACTTCCACCAAATTGAGATCTCAAAGCCCAACATTGATTTGATGTCTTTTGAAAAACGTCTGACACCTAAATTTAAATTCAAAACACATTTACTTGATATATGATTAAAAATGAGTTACTTCTAACCATATATCCACGAAACAGAAATGGCTTCAAAGAGAACCGCAAATAATATGGAATATCCGGCTGCAAAACGATCCAAAAGGTTGACCACATATGCGCCACCCTTTCATTTAAACTCAAATTTAAAAGATTACTTCACACTAATTGAAATGAAGAGATCATACTTGAGTACAACTAAGGAGTCCCACCAGAAAATACAACGAGAAAAGGATGGCAACGAACCACTCTCTGTTCCTCTTAATGATCGGGTATTCATCGCTTAGGGCTGTTATTATGGCTTCACTCCCACCGAACTGTATAAATATAATCAATTTATTTATTTTTCAAATATATCAATATGTTTTTATCAAAATATTCTTATTCTACATTATTCTATCAATATGTATTTTAATGTTTACAAATTGTAGATTACAATCAATTTTACAAACAAATATAGTCTATATTATAATTATAGTTATAATTTCGTTTATTAAGTAAGTCTTAATGTTATTCACATGTTATTATGCATGATCTAGTATTGGAAAGTGAGTGCTATTTCCAAATGAGTAACTGATTAAAAAATCAAAATTCTGGTATAAAGACAAATTTACATTAATTTTCTACAATTTAGCACTCAATTTTGTGATGACATCCTAATTTTATTATTCTCAAATCCTAACCTATATTTTTGACTTGAATTCTATGGATTCAACGAATTAATGAAATATTTTTGATTAATTTTATTTACATCAATAACTACTGTTGAGTTTGTATTTTTCATATTTAATAGGCTTACGTGCAAAATTCTATACTTGGTAGATTAATTTAAAGATTTTAATTTTGCTGAAATATTGATGATAATAGTGGTAAAAAATTAATATAATTATTTACAGTAGTATCTCAAAAATAATGACAAGACTTTGTAGACACCGGTTCCTCACTTATACCGATTACAACACTTGTTAGATGTGCGCTACACATGAAATAACTTAACATTTAGTGTTTCAGATGACCGGTCAGTTTACTGGCATAAATGAAAAATTTGATGCAAAATGAAGTAACGGTTGTGCAGTACTTTGAAGAATTAAATTTTGTTTTAGAATTTATCATTTGCTTGACTAACATGCATGTCATCCAAGATTTATTATAAGACTATCAAACTTGAATGCATTTTGAATGAAATAAAAGTATTCAAAATGAATGAATATAAAGACGCTGTACTTATAAATAGCATTAAACTTATAGATTGAATGTATCCTTACGGAGCTGTCGAGTCCTAAAGTGAGAAGCATTAGGAAGAATATGACGGACCAAACGGGTCCGCCCGGCATTGTAGAGATGGCTTCCGGATATACAATGAATACAAGTCCC